GGGCCAAGGAACCTGACTTTCAGCTCTATTACTGTTGTTTATATATTGCACGATAAATCTCAGATTCTTTTCTAATATTATTATGATGCAGATTTAAAATTTCTCCCCAGATAGCTCATGTATTGAGGGCTTCAATTCTGCAGGTGGAATTGAATGATGCTGGATCCTGGGGCGCACTGACTAACCAATAGATAAATTCATCGATAAGGATGTAGTTGATGGGCTATTAGGAAACGGGCCTGGATGAATGGCATAGGATACTCCAGGTGTCTATGAAAGGCATTTCTTGTCGTGGGTCTGTCCCCCTCAAACCTCCACCTCTAGGGATCCTGCCATGTCCTATCATACCCCCTCTGCCATGATGCTCCACCTGGAGGTGACACAGCTCAGAAGGAATGGGATCCTGGCAGTCCCCAGCCAAGGAACACTGAGTGTTGCAGCTCCAGTGGAAGAGCGCTCTGTCTGGCAGTAGGGAGCAGGGAACAGCACAGGCCACAGTAAGCTTAGCAGCTTAGAGCCCTGCTCTAGGGAAGGTTTTCCCCAGTGTGACAGAGGCAGCTTCCCAGGGAAGTTGTTACAACTCTGCTCTGCTAGGGGAAGGTTTACCCAGGGAAAGTGTTACAGCCCTGCCCTCTCAGCTCTGGGACTTCCGCTGCGAAGTTTTAACAACTCTGCAGCTGCTAAGAAAAGGCTTCCCCAGCAAAAGAAGTGTTCCGGTCGCTCTGCTCTGGCATCCCCAGCAAAAGTGTTACAGTCCGGTTCTGCTCTGTCTCTGCTCTAGGGAAATAGATTTATTGGGAGCAAAGAAACCAGGAGAATGGCTGCCTCTGCCAGGATGGAAGAAATAAGCAGCAAATTGACCAGGGCTTATATAGGGCTTCTTAGGAGTGGAGTTTTCCCAGGGAGAAGAGGAATTGGTTCCCTGCTCAGGGATTGGTTAGCCTAGTTGATCAGTGGCAGAGATGGCTGATTTCAGAGAAACTCTTTCATTGGCCTTTTAAAGCTTTTAGGCTCTAGTTTGGGGGCCAGGATATATATATATTTGGGGGCCAGGATATGTATATATTTCACTGACTTTGACTGTAGGGACAAAGTGTGTTTCTTTGACACTGGTTTCAGAGTTAGGGTGTATTTCTTTGGTTCTGGGTTCAGGGCTAAAACATTTCTTTCACTGGCTCAAGTCTCAGGGCCAAGGTGTGTTTCTTTCATTGGCTCGGTTCTCAGAGCCAGGGTGTGTTTCTTTGGCTGGCCCAGGTCTCAGAATCAGGGTGGATTTCTTTGGCTGGCTCTTTTACCCTACACTGCCTTACCGCAGCCTCAGAGCAAGGGGCTTCAACTGTGGACCGAAAATTGAGACGGTCAGTTATAACTCTTCTATAACTTGTTGTGTTTTTTTTTTTGGTTGACTATTTTGTTATAGTGTTGAAAAGATATCCAGAGTGTAGATCGAGGCTCCTCCCACTACCAGTGGCTTCTTCTGTGAGTGATTGAGAGGCGATACACATCAAAGAATCCCCACGCAGACACTGGACACTGAGAGCCTGGTTCAAATGCTGCCTCTCCGATAGTTGCATGCTCTGGCACGAGGTAGGTGGCCTTTCCACACCGCTGCTCGTCAGCTGTCATGTAGGGGTAACTGGACCACAGTAACCCATCCCTAGGATTTCTGTGAGATATGTTGAAGCACACGACCCCGAGACTCATGTATTGGTTGGCCATGGTGATGGCTTGACCATGATCAGTATGCCCTTTTACATCTGTGAATCTACGGGAAAAGAAGGGGTAAGAACAGGAAGGGGAGATGTGGAAAGGAAGCCGATTGTGTGTCTGCATGAATGTGCATGTGCAGGCTGCCACAGGCTCTCTGGGTCCTGAGCTGGGATCTGTGCAGGCATGTGCTACCTCTGCCCTGTCAGTCAAGGGGAGCATGACCCGCCCGCTGTCCTGCCTCCTGGTACTAAGAGAAAGGAAATGGGAAGGGTAGAAAGGATGGAAAAATTGCCTAAGCCCACCAGCACCAGCACCACCACCACTACCACCACCACCACCACCACAACAACAACAACTACTAAAACCCCAAAAACCAAAAGCCAGTCTGTTTTCCATTGCTTGCCCTATGTAGGTGACTCCCTAGCCCTGGCCACAGGTTCCTGCTGCTCCTTCCCTCAGCAAGGCTTGTTCTCAGAAGCTGTTGTCATCACAGAGGGAGACCACCTGCTTTCTCAGGGACCTTTGCACCTGGGCCAACTGTGAGCATGTTCAGTATCAATGACAGAATGGGGACATATTCAGGGACTTCCTCTGCAGTCCTTAAGTCTTCCCCTGCAATAGCTGGGGTTAGGGCTCTCAACAAGGACAAGAAAGGAGAAAGGTCTCTCGGGTGTCACAGCCAGGGAAATGGAGAGAAGAGGACCCTGTCCCTCTGGAAGGAAAGCTTGGTGTTGTGTGTGTTGGGGGGAGGGGAACAGAGAAGCAGGCAGCCCCAAAAGACACCCATGTGTTTCCCATGCCAGCACTGGACTCCTGTGGCCAAGGAGAACCACATGAGGGACCTGAAAATGGTCTCTCAGAGAAATAGAGGTGAGTGGTTTAGAAGTCTTCTGAGTATAGTCTCGGGAGACTGGGTTTCTTGTTGGGAAGGGGGGAGTATCTATAGGCAGAAGAGGGTTAAAGGTTGAGCTTAGGATTCCTGTTGAGATCTGCTCCCTCCTGACAGCCAGTACCAGGGTGAACAGTGGGATCTTAGGGGTAAAGGGAGCCAGGTTTGGCCAGGGGCTGTCTTGGGGTAGAGAGTGAGGGCACACTGTCCTGGTGTGCCTGGAGCTTCCCACACAGCAGGCACAGTGCAGAGCGCTCACTAACATCACCAATAAACAAAGTCCACACCTAGGGCAGGATGGTCCTCCCATTCACGGGGCAGGCACACAGAACACGCACGCATTACATTCACAAACAAATCGTTGGGCAACAGGCAGAATGTGCTTAGACCCCGCTTCTAATAAGGCCCACACAGGAAAGGCAGTCTTGGTAACACAGACTCTCAACACAGAGAGAGCCACTGTGGTTACCATGGTCTCCACACACTGATCAACGCCTTTGCACCAGGTATGAGTTTAAGGCTTTCCCTGAAACTAGTTTAATTTTTACAAAGCAAAGATAGCTGGTCTAAAGACATCCCATTTTACAGATGAGGAAAAGTGAGGGAAAGAGAATGAAACACCCGAAGTCACACAGCGGCCAGGGCAAAGATTGAGGCTCCTTACTTTCCTCGTGGTGGTTTGGGTTTACTAGCAAACTTAGCAGGGCTCCAGCCCCTGACACAGCTCACAGAGACCGAGAGCCACTGGGGCGCTAGTGGATGAGACAGAAAGGGATCAGCCTGTTGTCAGGGGTTTGCAGGCAGTGGCAGGTCCAGTGAGAGCCCTAGAGCTCCGAGGGTGGAGGTGAGGGCCAAAAGCCGCAGAAACCGGGCTGTAGAGCGACGAGCCAGAGGGCGGCTTCCTGCACCGAAGCTCCTCGGAGGAGCGGTTTTTGTGCATCCAGGGTCTACCTAGCCCCGACTTTCTACAGAGCTCTCCGAGCTCTTGGCGGCATCAGTTTCCCAGCCCAACAGCCTCTGGCTATTAGCAGTTGGGCTGCCGCGCCCGAATTCGCTCTCAGGCGGAAAGGCCTGCAGACAACCGAGTCGGGACACATAGGATTGGGTGGAGACTCTCCCAGGAGCCCACCCGCACTCCACCTAGAGAGGCATCAAGTTCTTGGTGTCCTTTTAAAATGGGGGTGGGGAACTTAAAGACCATCTATGGATAAACGCTGTTTATACCTCATTCATTTGTCTTTCAACCCTTTCAAACAAAACTCATGGCGAATTTTGTGAAGGAAAAAAAAAGTCCTGATTTTGTAGAAGTTGCAGATTTTCTAAAGATTAAAAAGCCATCGAGAAGATAGCAAATTACCCCTCGCCCCACATTTGTTTCTGAGTATTTGCGTTGTAATCAGTTTTATGAAATCCACAATGAGAGTTCGTGAAAATCGTTTATTCTGGAAGTGTAACACATCTCAACGGCGTTCTTCGAAGGAGCCAAGCAGCAGAGTGGAGAAAGGAGGGGGTGGGAGTCGGCGTTAACTTAACCAAAAAGAGGAAAAAGATGAGGGAGGAGAAAGAGCCGCCGCAAGGGTGGAAGCAGGACCTTGGCTAGAGCCTCTGGATTCCTTCCGGCTTTACCCACCTGCAACATCGAGTTTTCTACGGGCGGAGCGGGTGGGAAAGTCCGAATAGAGTTTATCCAAACCCAGGTGGTCAATTCCTACCCGTTCTCTCTAACTTGGACCCCAGCCGAACAAAGGCTCAGGCGCACAGGGGAGGAAGGTGGCCCACAGGACCAGCGATGGTCGCGACCCAACGGATCCCCTTTTCTCCCTTAGTCCTGTCGTCCCCAGGAGGAATTCCTATTTTAAAAATTATAAAAGAAAAACACTTTTAAGGGAGAGACGGCTCCCATCTATCCCCAGGTGTCCATCACCCTGCTAGGCAGCGACTGGGGCAACCGCCCGCAAGTCCACAGAAAGCGCGGCGCTGCGGCAGAGCCCGCTGGGTGGAGACGCAGTTTCCCTGGGATTGCGGGACCCGGGGCCGCAGAGCGGATCCTGGAAGGTTTCAGGGAGGAGGGGGCTGTGCTCCATTGTTCATTCCCGGCCAATCAGAACTGGCCCACTTCCTCGCAGCCAATCTCCCGGCGCTACCCAAGCCCACCCTCCGGGTCCCCATCACCTCCCCCGCAGTCCCCGCCGCTGTGGGGGAGCCGGGTGACGACGCTACAGGTCCCGCCTCCAGCTCCGGCCCGGGCGAGTGCGTGCTGACGTCATGCTGCGTGCGGGTCGGTGCGGAATCGCCCCTTCAACTCCGCGGGGCAGGAGTTAGTTAGCAAAGAGCAGAGGCTGGGCGCGCGACCCTGGTCCTTCAGCCCCTGGCCGCACGCTTTGCGTACATCTCTCTCTGCATGGTGGATATTATTTTTCATTATCCTTTTCTGGGTGCTATGGGGGATCATTCCAAGAGTAAGTCTTTCTGTGTGTGTGGGTGTGTATGCGTGTTTAATATGCAACATTTCCAATGCAGAAGAATGTTTAGCGGATTCTACAAGTGGCTTCTATTTGACAAAATACTTGGGAGAATAAAGAAAAAAACCAATGCATTTTGCCTGTAGCAGTGTTTATCCTTTGGAATCCTGTTGTTTTATTTTATAATTAGACTTTATTTCCCAAGCCGGCTGAACTGACCCCAAGACTGTGAATTCTTTCTCTTTTCTGCTAGGACGATTAGGTTTGACTTAGAGAGATGGGATTTTTTTTTTCCTGTTTGCTTGTCTTTTGGTCTTTCGAAGCTAGAGAGATTTCAGTCGCTTGATCTGCGCGGTGTTTAATTAAGATCTGTCGAAGAAGCTGAGCGGGGACCGCGCTGAAAGCTGCGGTGTGGAGGTGTGGATGTTGGGATTGGAGGGAGTCGTTGTGAGAGGGCGGAAATCCGGGCTTGGCCGCCAGTGTGGACGCGGAGGCGTCCGGGGCTCCCCGGTGTCACTGTGCTGTCGTCCGCCTCCCGTTAGTTCTGTCTGTATCTGGACCGATACGACGCGCCCGTTCAAAGACCGTGATAACGGAAATGTCAGGAGATTGTGTTGTTTTCGTTTCCTATTTTCTGGACCTTTCGAAAGCTTTCCGTTCCCTTGTGGTCGCACTTCTAAGAGTAAGAGAGGGAGAGCGAGAGAGCGAGAGAGGGTTGGGTTGGGGATGCAGCGGCCAAGGCCGGCCAGGGTCGGCAGACAGGCCTGACACGGGCCCTGCGCCCTTCCCCGCCAGAGAAGCTCGGGACGGCCATGTGCGTGGGCTGCGGGAGTCAGATCCACGACCAGTTTATCCTTCGGGTGTCGCCCGACCTCGAGTGGCACGCCGCCTGCCTCAAGTGCGCCGAGTGCAGCCAGTACCTGGACGAGACGTGCACGTGCTTCGTGAGAGACGGGAAAACCTACTGCAAGCGGGACTACGTCAGGTGAGCTGGCGGGACCTCGGGTTCGGCCCCCGTGGGCTGGGGGACACGGCTGCGCGTCCCGGGCCCGGGTACCCCGCGCTGACGCCCGCCGCGCCCGGGCCCGCAGGCTGTTCGGCATCAAGTGCGCCCAGTGCCAGGTGGGCTTCAGCAGCAGCGACCTGGTGATGCGGGCGCGGGACAGCGTGTACCACATCGAGTGCTTCCGCTGCTCCGTGTGCAGCCGCCAGCTGCTGCCGGGAGATGAGTTCTCGCTGCGGGAGCACGAGCTGCTCTGCCGAGCCGACCACGGCCTCCTGCTGGAGCGCGCTGCGGCCGGCAGCCCGCGTAGCCCCGGCCCGCTCCCCGGCGCCCGCGGCCTGCATCTGCCAGGTAAGCCGCTCTCCCGGCCCGCGTAGCCGCACCGCGTCGGTGGGATGTGCGAGTGTATAGCCGGCCGCCGAGCTTCCGACGGGAAGCTGGTGTGAGAGGCCCTGGCGCTGGGAATCCGGCCGTGTGTATCTGGGGTGGGGAACTGGAAGTGTGTGAGCCTGAGCTTCGGGAGTTGTGTTCTCCGTGGTCCGTACCCTGTAGGACACGATGCTAGGATCCGGAGAGTGGAGCTTGTTTGGGTTTGTTTAGAATTCCTTTAAAGAACAGGTTATCGTCAGGGAGAAAAGATGATATCCGGCCTGGAGCCTACCGGAGAAGGCCAGCCTTGTAAAAGAGGGGCCTGTGTTCTTGTTTTGAGGTCCAGCTAGGACGATTGGCGTCCTAACTAGGAGTTGCTCAGACTGGGTTTTGGCCAGAAACAGGTGGAGAGAGTGTCACAGAGACCCCAGCTCCAGGAAGCCAGAAGGTCTGAGGCACAGACCCTGGCTCTCCAGGCTGTGTGGCCCCAGGGCTCCACCCCTCTCTGTTTCTCCGTTTCCACACTGTAGAAAGAGGAAATTGGTCTGGGTGGGCTATTTGTAAATGTTTACCCAGACCTAGAAATGCCTAGAGGGGACATCAATGTAAACAGTGCAGCTAATCTCCAGTGGACGTGTAGACCGGGTTGGACGCGACACAGTGGAGTTCGTGTTCACGAACCCCTTCTGGAGATGGCCCAGGGGCTCCCTTTGTTGTGAAAATGTAGGCTTAAAGCTGTTCCAGGTGGGTGTGAGTGGCACCAGCCACTGGGCAGAGGGAACCCGAGCGAAGGGGACAGTCTCCGGGCTGAAGCTCCAGGGCAGACAGCCAGGAAGGAACCATTCTGTACCCAGAAGGCCTTCGCTGTCTCAAGTCGGATTCTTCGGTGTTCCAGAGTGTTCCAAACGGCGAGACGGGCCGAAGCAGGCCTTTAGGAGCAGAAGAGTTTTTCAGTCTGGGAGTTTGCTGGGTCCCAAGCCCCGGACTATTCCCTTTCCCCTCCGGAGTCGCACTGCCATTTCTACCTCTTCCTCTAAAACCCCACCTTCTTACACAGGGCTTCGCTTGTCCAGCTGGGCGCAGTTGGGTTTTCCTAGGGTCTGCTAGTAAGCGCAGCGGCCTAAAGCAGAACTCCAGAGTCCTGCAGGACTCCAGGAGATCGCTGAGAGGCAGTCGGGCTTGGGAGCCAGGGACAGAACAAAAAGCATACTCCTTTTGGGTAAGGCGAACGGATGGAGAGAGAAATGAAAAATAACCAAATGAACGGAATAAAAGGGAAACGAAATCTTGGGGAGCATGACTGGCGACCCATCTGACCTCCTGCTTCTCTCGGCCCCTGCAGACACCGGGTCCGGACGGCAGCCCTCGCTGCGCACGCACGTGCACAAGCAGGCAGAGAAGACTACCAGGGTGCGGACTGTGCTCAACGAGAAGCAGCTGCACACCCTGAGGACCTGCTACGCCGCTAACCCGCGGCCCGACGCGCTCATGAAGGAGCAGCTAGTGGAGATGACGGGCCTGAGCCCACGGGTCATCCGCGTGTGGTTCCAGAACAAGCGTTGCAAGGACAAGAAGAAGTCCATTCTCATGAAACAGCTACAGCAGCAGCAGCACAGTGACAAGGCGGTGAGGTGCTGGCGGTGGCGGGGAGGCGGGCGGTGGCCACCGAGGCATTCCGGAGGCCTCTTTCTGGAGAGACCTAGGCGGAACTGGACTCTCCACGCAGCCTGGCACCACAAGGAAAGGCTAGCCTTAGCCTTCAAGTTGCGGTGGTTGGTGGTGGTGTCTTGTGCCAGCGACAGCCCAGAGTCGAGGGGCCCTAGACAAGGAGTCCTAGCCACGGATTGCCAGGTGTAATTTTCTTTGTCAGGATCCGAAGGTCACCCCCTTTGTATGCTTGGCTAGGAAAGGGCGTAAAAGCTTCCGTTTCCCCGGCCTGGTGTTTGGCTCATAGTAGTGAAGCGGTTGGCGGATTTGTGGGCCCTAGGGTATCTCCAATGCGGAGGTGTGCAGTCAAGTGTGCCTCCTCACACCAATGCGGTCTCCAAGTCGGTCTCCAGAACCTGGGGCTCCATGCTCGAAAAGTGGTGCAAAAGCCAAGACCTAACTCTAATGCCTTGTGCCGTCCCCTTGCCCCTTAGAGCCTCCAGGGACTGACTGGGACGCCCCTGGTGGCGGGCAGCCCCATCCGCCATGAGAATGCGGTGCAGGGCAGTGCAGTGGAGGTGCAGACGTACCAGCCGCCTTGGAAAGCGCTCAGCGAGTTTGCACTCCAGAGTGACCTGGACCAACCCGCTTTTCAACAGCTGGTGAGGCCCTGCGCTAACTGCCCAGTGGGAGTGGAATGGAGGGGACTTTGCGTTGGGACAAGGGGTCCGGGACAGAACTGGCAATGGGGAAAGGCTCTTGGGCCTCACTGCTGACACTAAACCTGGTTTTAATGTCTCTCCCTCACCTGCCCAAATCCCCCTGTGTCACTGGAGGACCTGGCATCCCTCTCCTCAGAATTTACTCAGCTGGCGACTTGTCTGCTGGGAACACGCAGGGTCTCTGAGCAGGTGACCCAGGATCACCGGCTCGGGCGTGTACACACTTGTTCTACCCTGGTGTCTCTGCCCTCCCAGGTCTCCTTCTCAGAGTCTGGCTCCCTAGGCAACTCCTCCGGCAGCGACGTGACTTCTCTGTCCTCACAGCTCCCGGACACCCCCAACAGTATGGTGCCTAGTCCCGTGGAGACGTGAGCAGGGACCCCTAGCTGCCAGCCCGCGGACCTCGCATGCTCCCTGCATGAGACTCACCCATGCTCAGGCCATTCCAGCTCCGAAAACTCTCTGGCCCTTGTAATTATTGTTGTTATTTAAAGCGAGGGGGGCAGAGGCAGGCGACGACAACGACAGGACAACCAGAAGAGCAGGACGCAGCCTGCCCCCGCCGCCGAGACTGGAGACTGTTGCTCCCAGGACTTTGTTTTTCTTGAAATAGAATTTGGGACTTTCTGGGTTAGCTCCGCCCTCGGCTCTCCCGCGCTGCGTGGGGAGCTGCCACTCTGCCTCTCCGTGCCACACTCGCCCAGGAACCCACCTCTGCGTGGGGCCCTACAGGGACCTGCCCTCCCTCGTGGGAGCTGCTCCGGACGCACCTGCGCTGACCCTATGCTTTGCACCGGCCCTGACGGTGAGGAGGACGGGACAACTCCAGGGAACTGACACAACCCCGAAAGCGCATGACTGCCGGACAAAGTAGAAACCAGACTATCTTTAAAAAAATGTTTTAAATTATCAGTCGACGGAGGACAGTGAGAGCCTTTGCCGAACAAACGTAAGTTATTGTTATTTATTGTGAGGCGAATAGTGGGATGAATATTTTGATCTTAATAAAAAACAACCCGATGCCATGCCGCTCCTGTGTGCTGTTGGCGCCCGGGGAGCCAGACAACGCCACTTCGCAAGTGGGCCTCAAGGGAAGTTTCAGCTTCACCCGCCCTCGTGCTGCGGTGCAGTCGGTGCCCGACGGGCGGGCCGGACGCTGATTGGACGCCGACGGGCGTGCCCGGCGGGGATTGGGCACCTACAGGGCGGGCCCGACATTTATTGGGTGCCGGCGGGCCGGGGCGGGGCGGGGCGGTTCGGGTGCGGTGCGAGCCTTCAGGCGGTTCTGCAAGGCTCTGCACCTGAGGCGTGGGCGCCTGGAGACCGGTGTCCAGTTGTGGGGTGATAGGTTTGGGTGGGGCGCGAAGCCCACCTTGCGCCCCTGGGCTCTGCGACGCGTCCTACGAGCTGTCCCCAGAGTGGATGCGCGACGTGATCAATCTCGCTGCATTTATTAATTCCCCTGTCTAGACAGAGGAGAAGGCCGGGGCGGCTCCTTATCTACGTTTGGCATCACCTGCAAGCGATACACTGAAGGAGCCACAACAAGCCCCCGCTAGGATCGCGGCGCAGGAGAAAATAAGTCCACCCAGAACCAGTCTGGCGTGTCCTTGGTTTATTTTCTTTCCAGGCCCGAAATGGAGGGGGCGGGGGATGGCCCCTGGATATGTCGTGCCCAGGTCACTTGGTGTGACATTTCAAACCCCTGCGACTTGTTTTCTTGAAAACTGGCTTTAGCGATCGCAGGAAATAACCAAGAGATACTGAATCTCCAGCAGGCCGCCCCAGGCAAGCAGAAGGAAAAAAAAAAAAAATCCCGGCAGGCTCAGGTTTTACCCTCTACAAATATTTAACCCTTTGGCAGTCTAGGACAATTCTTTCCCAAAGCCAGCCTCCTGTCCTCCCTTGGCTGATTTGGAAAGCTGCCTCTATCAGCCAACCTGCCAATCCTGCAACAATCTGACATTTCTCTTTTCTAGTTCCCACAGTTAGATATCCCACAGGGCGTCCCTCTATGTCCAGGTTTTGTTTTTTGAAGGCGTGCAGAGCACTTTCGGGGTAGGGGACAAATAACCATCCTAGTGTATAGGTAAGGATTGGGGACAAATGTACTCAAAAGGCAGCTGCCGTTCCGGATAGAGGAGTAGACCCCCCCCCCCCTCGTTAGAAGCAGCCGCTTGGGCCATACAGCAGTTTCACACCCATCCATCCCACAGCACCAATTAGGGATGGAAGGCTTCCTGGCAATTAAACAAAATGAGAAGAGGTGGGAAAATTGAACTACATTTATAGTTCACTTCCTGAAAGTCAAGGTGATGCTAGCACTTAGAAAAGGGGCGGGGCATTCCCTTTCTTGGAGATTTAGGAAATAGTCTGCAAATGTAGATAAGATACAAACAAGCGCGCGCGCGCGCGCGCGCACACACACACACACACACACACACACACACACACACACACACACACGTGTTAATCAGGGCCAGCTTTACCTCTCAAGGCTGGTTCTTTGAGGCGTCATTCCCCGAACTTAGACCATTCCCTCCTAAGCAGAAATACAGATTCCTCCGTTTTGCATCTGGCTGGCTATTGGATAGGAAACAAAACTTTGCTAAATCTTATTTTCGGAAACTTTAGATTATCAAAATATTGGGTTTTTACTTTTTTTTTTATTAAAAAGGAACGGGTCCTTAGGGAATTTCATTATAAGAGCTAAATTTTTGCTTGACTGGGTGCATGCAGTATTTTATAAACATCTACATACCTAGTTACTGCGATATTTCCCCTCATCTTTCAAAGCTGAAACAAACATTTGACTTCAACACTGGTGCGTGCCTTTTACTACCTTGGGAAATTACCCAGGTAACAGTGGTCACTGTGCAGTAAGTTGTATGAGACATCACAAACGTTTTCTCTCATTACCCAAAGGAGCGTGTGGTGCTCTCAAGTTCCCAGGGGATAAACTTGCATGTCCTTGGCAAAGTATCAGATCTACAGTTAGTTACATGAATAAATATCCATTTTACTGGTTCCCAGGTCATCTTTAAACATCTTCTGTAATGAAGTAGGGATTTCCTGGTAAATTAAATTACCTGTGACAATTACAACTTTTGTGCCTTTTACTAATGTTTATTAAGAGTAGTAAAACCTTGGTTCAAGGGAAGAGACTATGGATGAAAAAAGAGGCTTATTTAAAGTGATTCACTTCAGAATAAGATTTTTTTTTTCTCAGAAGATTTAACTAATTATTTGCTGAGCTCTGGGAAATGGTGGCAGGAAAAACATCCCAGAGACAAATTTTTGGCCACACAATTTTGTAAGGCCACACAATTCTGGGAACTTCAGAGTCCGTGTGGCAGTGTTCTGAATGACTGGGACGACACCAGCCTTTCTCTTTTGAATATGGAGTAGTTAAAGCTCAGGCTTGCCAGAGCTGGGAAGAGCGGGTTTAAGTGACACATTGTTCTAACTCTGTCCTTCAAAAACGTGAGACTCTGCCACTTTTGCCTAGAGGTAGGCTTTCTCTGCCAAGGTGGAAGTTAGTGCTCACCAAAGGGCCAGGCAGAATAGAAGCCTGCTGGGGGGAGAAAACAAAGGCCGGGTAAGGACGGGTAAAAGTATTTGTAGAGAAGTCAGTCCCCAACGGAGCTGCGATAAAAGCAGGAAATTCAGTTTATTAAGCTGATGCTGGGAAGATTAGAGGCTTTTAACCGTGGGCCTGATTGACGTAAAAGTAAACTTTCTTTAAAATACAGAGATTCAGTGCTATAATGAGGATTGTGTGACCAATTACAGGCTAGCACCTTGTTGATGGAGACTGTGCATAGAAAATGCAGATAAACAGAGCTAGGTTGAGAGCAGCGATGGGAGCAAGAAAGGGCACGAGGAATCCTCCAGATGTGGGGCTGGGCAACTCCAGGTCCCAGCTCCTTTGTGCCTTTAGCAGCAATCCCCAGTCGAACAGGAATGCTAGGTGGGTCCAGCCTTTGACCACAGAACCCTCCTCTGGTCAGCATCTGGGGGTGGGCTGAGTGAGAGTTTGCTAGCTGGGAAGCTGGATATGTAAATGAGGTGTGTGCCTACGGAGGCTGAGCCGGGGCACTGGTGTGTGTGTGTGTGTGTGTGTGTGTGTGTTGGGGGGGTTGAGATGAGGGAAGACTGGAGACCTAGAGGACAATGTCCTTTTTGACATCCACCAGGAAAGATGCAGGTGTTTTTCACAGCTGCAAGAATCTGAGGAACGAAGAAGTTAAGGTTAAGGCCAGGGCTTGACCTAGGACTCACTGAGGCCTCCAGATTCAAGGTCACAGGGCCCACCAGCTAGAGTCTGGCGGGGTGGGGGATGGGGGCAGCTGTGGCTGAGGACTCGGTAGGTCCGAAGCTCTGATGTGCCCTTGGGCTTTCAGAAGAACTGGTTCTGCAGTGATTGGGAGAAATTTTGTCACCCCAGGTACGTATTTTGGTTGTAAATGTCGCTGCTCCTGGGCTCTGAGCACCTTTTCCAAGTCGGGTTCTAATTCTAGACTCTCTAGACTCGGGGCCAGCGGCGCCCTCACCCCAGAAGGAAGCCGCTGCTCTGCGACTTTATCGGGCGCTTCACACAGGGGCAGCGGGACCATTCGATTACAACTTTAATTGCGAATTCTGGTAGAGCTTTGGGAGGTTAATCACTGCTGTCTCGATTATTTATGGCTTTTTGGCAAATTTCCCACCAGATAAGAGGTATATTCCATCGCGAAGCACCTCGCAGGGAACCTTATAAACTTGATTCCCCACGGCTGCGGGGACGCCCTCCACCGGCTCCGGCCCTCCCTCTCCGGAGACGAGGTGTGTCGAGTCCTCCGGACAGGAGCGCCCACGGAGATGCTCCGCATGGTTTACATCCCACCTCTTTATTTTCTTTCGATTTGTAAAACAGTAAAAAATCGAACACACATAACTGCAGTGCCGTGAGGTTCCAAAAAGAAGTGCCCGGAATATTAGGTAAGTATTTTTTTGTTTGTTTGTTTGAAGAAAGGTAAGATTCTTGTGTTCAGCTTCCTGTGACCAATTTTAGGTTTTCGGGTAAATCTCCACAGCCAGGTCTTTCTTGGTAATTATCAGCAATGCCACTCAGGCTCAGCAGAGGACCACTTAAGGAGGAGACCCTCAACCCCCACCCTGTCCTCGCGGCCTGGCCCAGACAGAGCTAGCTGTGTGCCCATGACTGCCTTATCCTCAGAGACATGGCCACCCTCACTGTTTCTTTTATTTTTATGTTGTTTCAAATAAATCATTTAAGAAAATACTTGATGCTCCCACATTATTTTTTTTTTATTTTGAACACTAAATTTAGGTTAGCAAAGCTAATAGTTCACAGTGCTTTCTCCCAGGGAAGTTCCCGACCAGTGACTAGGTATTCTAATTTCAAACAGTCCCAAGGCTTACTTATGGAAAGTGTTAGTTACACAGGTCTCAACTCCAAGCTTTAGAAGAAAAACTCAGAGCAGGTTAAATGTCTTAACACTTTCTCAGATTTGTGCAGCTTTAACGTGAAAAGTCAACACTGAAAACTGTGTTACTACATTACAATATTTGCTATTTTTAAGTCTAATTTTACCCATATTACAAATGCAAATTATACAGTATGGAAGTAAACA